CTGCCCTGCTTTAGCCCTAATACCCTAAAACACATGCAATTTACACCACCTCAATGCTTTTTCCATAAAAAAAGGGAACTGGATTCTAGGGTTTCCAGTGGGAGATAAGCAACCAGGTGTCCTTCAGGCAAGTAGCCTTGTTAGTGGCTGTCAGCCATCTCCAATTCTACCCCAGGCAAGCTCTGGGGAGGAACTCAGGGTGAGAGGAGAAGACTGGTTATTTTAAGCTATGTGCTTCATTTAAAAGAATTTCATGTTGACTTTTCTAAAAAATATATATTAAATAATGGAACAAAATTTCATTATTAAGACTTATTCTAGCATATTGCCTACTATCATAATAAAACAATGATTTAATCTAATCATAGTAATGGTACACCACCTTTTTAAAAATACTTTTTAGTTATACATGGCAGTAGAGTGCTTTTTGACATATTATACATACATGAGTATGAATTATTCTAATTAGGATCCCATTCTTGTGGCTGTACATGATGTGGAGTTGTTTCCCTGGTCCCTTCCTTCAACTACAGCATCAAACCAGGTAATGAACGGGCTGCTTTATCTCCCACTCCTTCCCACATGCAGAATGTACACACAGCAACTTCTGGGAGTACATCCGCACATGGGGTTTTTAAAAGTACATCTATTCATTAAATTTCCCCCAAATACCCTAGTCTACAAATGAGCTCCGTTCTTTCCCAAGCCTCTATGTTATGATTTTAGGAGAAACTATCATTTCACTTCAAATATTAGCATACTGGTCCTCACACCATTTCATAGAACAATGAGAGCATAGTTACACAATTTAAAAAAGAGAACTAGTTCAACCACCACTACAATAAATTCATTTGGGGTCTGGCTTCAATTTACATATTATAATAACAATTATAAACTTATAATTTACAAATGTCTACAGAGATAAATTGGGCAAAACAACACAATTTAGGGTAAACAGCAAGAGATTGCCTCCTGTGCGTGTAGATACATGCAAGACAGTATGTCAGAAGCTGAGTTCAGATCCTGAGGGAGGAAATCAGAGAAAATGAAGGTAAATCCAGATGCAAGGAAAACCAGGCACTCTGGATATTTCAGAGCTCCTGGGCTCTGTGATATGGAAATGATGAGTGGACACAGCACTGTATTCACAGGGGGCAAAGCAAGCACGAATGGTGATGTGATGACTTTGACAGAGAAGGCAAAGAAGCAGCAAGAACTTCTGCCATATTAGTATTTATCAGTGCCTGTGAAACAGTCTGGGACCCAGTGTTATGAAGATGCTGCTTTTCATCCTGTTCCCAGCCCAGATGATTAGTTTTCAAGAAGGCTCCTTACATTTCTAGTTTCTGTTCTTCCTTTGTTGTCCCCATTTAAATATCTCTCTGGACACTTGTTTATCAGCTCTATACATACAGAGCACCTGCTAAGAAAGCACCCTAAGCTGGGAGGTACTGGAAACACAATGGTGAGTAAGAGGCTGGCCCTGAACTCTGTGGAGTTCCTGACTAGATTGTATAAATCATAACACAACAAAACAACAACAAAAACAAAACACCAGGAGCCAAGAGAAGCAGTCACAATTTTTGGTAAGAGTGGACCACAAAACTCAAGGCTCACTCACATCCTTGGACTTCTGAGCATCAATCCGTACTCTGCCTTCCCTTGCCAACAAGGTTCCTGGACAGCAATATGTAATTTTACATTTGCCTCGTCACTGAACTATCTACTTAACCAGCTTCCATATCTCCATGGCAAGAAGTGTTTTCCTTCAAAACAGGTATTGAGGATAAGGTCAGCCTATTTGTTAAGTTCTGAGTTAGGTTCAAACTCTGTTATTCAATTGGTAAAAATAAGGTGTTAGACAGGAACCAGTCTGCACTTAAGTGGTTGAAATTGTTGAAAATACAAACTGATATTTATGAAGGCTCTAGGGAATGAGAGAAGAAGAAAAAAATACGCTTCAGGGCCTCAATGAAAAATAAGGGGAGAACGTAGTCATCTCTGTATTCGAAAACTCTGAAGGGTTCATATTTGAATCTGAGGGAAAGATGTCCTCTTACATACTATGTGGTCTTGGCAAACATTTATAAAATGAAAATTTAAGTTTAATATTTAAATCTCTGTCAAAAATTAATTACCTGTCATGAATATCCTTCTTCCTACTCCTACACATCCACTAGTGCCTCAATTCAGGAAAGTAAATTGAATTTCGTTCTGGTCTAATGATAACAGATGGCTTCAGTATTCAGCAATTTAAATTATCTGACAGGAAACAGTACCCTATTCAAACATTTTGTTACCTATCAACTGCCAAGCAAGAAAACCACCAATTCTGAAACTAGGCAGAGAGAGAGAGAAGAGAGAAGAGAGAGGAAGGGGAGGGGAGCAGGAAGGGAAGAGGAGGAGGGAGGGGAGGGGAGGGGAGGGGAGGGACAAAGAGAAGAAAAGGAAATAAAACCCAAGAGGCCAATCCCTTGGAAAATAACTTCAAGAATCAAGCCATAATTTCTTGGGTATGGGATTTCCTAGTATTGTGCTGACTAAAATGGTTTTTATACCTGAGTCTTAATATTTTATTTTTTAAATGGTTTTATACACACTTAAAATCCTTCCCTCTTACTTGCCTATTCTTCATTTCAGCCCCAGAACTAATCCCATTAATCCATGAAGGGGATTGATGAACCAACAGTGATAACCAAGAAACAGAATGTTTTCTCTGAAGGGAGTAGCAATACAAGCTGTAGTCACCTAAAATCACCATAGCTACAACCACTGTTCTTCCACTGTACCACAGGGGCTTCTTGGGCCACTATTTGAAAACAAACAACTGCCGGTCACTGAAGAGAAGAGTCTCTGTTACAGAACACATGATGGAGTAGAAAATATTTACATAGGTCTGTTTCAAAACCTGTACTGAGTATTCTGAGCATCAGGGCAAGAAATGCAAAAACTTCACATTGCCAAAAATACCAATACTTGAAACATCTGAATTTTTCCCCCTTCAACTGCTATAATTGTCCCTTCACACCTAAACTCCTGGAATAGCTTGGTCTCCAGGCTTCTAATAAACTGGGTTATGATTTGGATATGAGGGGTTTCCCGTAAAGCTCAGGTGTTAGATGATGCAGGAATGTTGAGAGGGAAAATGATTAGGTTCTGAGAGACGTCATGTCATTTGCCGGATTAATAATATGAATGGATTACTGAGTGGCAACTTTAGGTGAATGGGATGTGGCTGAAGAAAGTAGGTCACTGGGGATGCTCTCCAGGATTACATTTTGTCCTAGTTCCTCCCTACCCTCCTGCTTCCTGATTGCCATATGCTGAGCAGCTTTTCCCCGCCATGGCCTTCTGCCATGATGTTCTGCCCCACCTTAATTCCACAGCATTGGGACTGAATTGGCTGCACGTGGACTGAACCGCTGAAACTCTGAGCCCCAAATAAATTTTTCCTCCTTTATGTTGTTCTTTCACATATTTTGGTCATAGCAATGCAAAGTTGACTGACAAGGTCCCCTACTCTGATTCCTTCGGCTCGCCATCCTGAAACCTGTCTGTCCATTCCCTTTTGACTCATAAACCTTCAATAGCTACTTAGTGTGTGTGTGTATATATATATAAAGTCAGAATCTCCTTGGCTTGGCACTCAGGGTCCCATAAAGTTTGGCCCCAGCCTACCTTTATAAATCATGTGTTTGTTCTGTCTGATACAAATCTCCTTTCCACACAGTTCAAGAAAGCAATCCAACAGCCTTCTTTCTATTCAGGACAACTTTACCTCCCCTTTCTTACTCAACCTAGGTGCAAAATTGACTTCCCTAGTCTCTCTGCTCATCTATAATCCCTTCCAAATTCAAGATCTAGCTGAAGAAGCTCTACAATTTTTTCTCCTTTTGAATTTCTACAGCATTGGACATGGAAAACATCATTTGCCACAAAGATGTAGTAAGGCAATGAGACCATGCATCTGAACCCTTCATCTTCCATAGAAATCCTCTCATATCTTGTACTTTCATTTGTTTATTCACATACTTATCTCTACAAATGGGCTGTCAGCTCTTCGAATTTAAAATCCCTATTTATTGTTTTTTGTATATCTTATAATAAATAAAATTCAGTAAATACTCTGCAAATTTTTAGATTAATAGATGCACCTTCCTCATGTGTACAAAAAACAATCATCAGAAAAGGCAACGATGTTGGGAAACGATGAGAAAGAAGCAGAGCATTTTAACAGGGCCTCATAAAAATAATGACAACCAAATAATGTTGGCAAACTTAGCTGACCTTTAACACATCAGAGAAATTCAAAGAGAAACAAAACTCTCAGAGGGGGCAAGCTGAGGGATGGCATAAGGTGTCTGTTTTGCAAGTTCCTGGGTTTTTGTTTTGTTTTGTTTTGTTTTGTTTGTTTTGAAACCGAGCACATGACAGTCTTTTTGCTTATGCTGAAGGTCACTTTGGTTTGGGCTGCGTCAAACAGAGACCCACACCAAAAGATCCATGCCAACATTCCACACACTCCCCAGGAGCTAGCCTGGTTTTAATCATTTTCTTTATTTCTGGGGCATATTTCATCTGCATATATAGTATACCTCAAAGTGCTTCTCACACACTTTGCACCCAAGTAACAATACATCAGATTATTTTCTGTAACTCTTTTCTAGGGAAACATCTGTAGATCACAAACAAACAGACATTTTATAGCTTTTAACACTGTCAAAATAACTGTAGATTTTACGGACAATACTTGGGAGCACATTGCTAGGAGTCACTTAAATCCATTAAAATGTTGTCTTTCAAAAGCATTACCACTATAAATTACTCCAATACGACTTCAAGTGTCATGCTAACAAATGCCACAAAGCAAGAAGCAATCTACTCTGGAATGAAAACTTAAAGTCATAGTATTCTCCATTGAATTATATATAATTAAAGAGATTTGTAGATATTACTGAGTAGACTTGAAAAATATGAGACAACAGATGGAAAATTCCTACCTTGTGTCTGCTTCTTGTTCACCGCATTATCAGCTTTGTGTCGTTTCTAGTTTAAAAGCAAAAAGAATAATAGTGAAAAAATGAATGAGATTGATAAAGAACACCCTACCAAAAATTAAAAAAAAAAGAGCTTTCTTTAAGTTGTGTTTCTCCAGGTTTTCATTGGTTCATGTCAATAATGGATGTCAGTGTTATCAATATGCACATCTCTGGGGGGTGCACTGAAGGGAAGGAGGAGAGGGCACTCTGGAACTTTAAATCTGAAAGCACTAGTAACAGAATCATTACACAGTGCTCCTCCACAGTCAGCACAGGTTTGTGGTCCTCAGATGGATTTTACATAAGCACAGAATAGACTTTTAATGAACAAGAAAAATTGGAACTGGAAGTCTGATTTAGTCTTGTGCTTAAATAACTCACTTAAAAAAATTGCCAGGGAGAATTATCTATAATAGCTACCATTTAATAATAGTATTGTAATATTTTCAGCTTCTTATGAAATTCATTATCTAATTAAGCTGAGTACAATATCCTCTATAATTTAATGATGTGCTGATGTCTGTCAGTGACTAGAACCTAATACGTCTACCACTTTCACACAGCCTCTTCTCATCACTGATTTCCAACCTCCCCCACAACCATGTGTGACCATAATCATAGGGTCCTCTTTTCTTTTGTCCCCAAGGCACCTACAACATTAAATGGCTAACAGGTGAGGTAATCTAAGTCCAGGCAGGTGAATTTTAAGGGTTACACCAGCCAAGGGTTTATAGCAGTGGGTAAAAAAAAAAAGGAAGAGAGGTCTGAGAAAAGATGAGAATTTAAGTGGCAAGAGGAGGTTTTCTCTGGCTTCTATTGAAACTTACAGCAAACATTAAGCAGAACACATCAGACTCTGTTAATGCTGCAGGAAAGTGCTGAGTGTAACTAACTCTTTGCTCAAAGATCCTATCATAGGAAGCCCAAAGTCAAACTTGGCTGTGAATGACCAACTACCACAGAAGCTGGGACAAATGTAAAACAAGAGAGTTCCAAAGTTTTCCATATGAGAAAAAAAATAACAAGGTTTTTGGAATCTCAGTGCATACATGAAAACTCTCCAAGAGAAAAGCGTAGAGTGGTAGATCAGCACTCCTGAGTTCCAGCAATACCCTGGAGAAGTGGAATAATAGCTGGTCGCATAAACTTGGTTCATCCAATCAATCATTGAACTGCACAAAATGTAAACAGAGCATTCAAAACTCCTCTGTGGAAAGTGTTGAAAATGATTCTTATCAAATCCATATGCAGGAACACACTACAAGTCTTTCTCAGCATAAAATACTCACCAATAAAAGTACATTCTTGTCAACTTTTAATAGGCATATTACTGCTTCCCAAAGAAAGTCTAGTTTGCCAGAAACTAATCTTAAATTATTTCTTGAAGTTCTATTAAACTTATAGCAACAGTAGAGAATATAATTGTAAAACTACAAAAAGGTTCATTTTTGTGTGTTGCTTTGTTAATAAAGATTCTAAGAATGTCAGAAAGCAATCAAAGGTAAATTTTGGTTCAAAATAACAGTCCGAGGAAAATTTAGATATTCAAAAGAGGTATAAATAGTTCCAAAATAATGTACAATTGATGATAGGCAATGGTTAGACTTTCAACTGAAGGAGACAAATAAAAGCTAATTAATGAAACATTCCACTTCAAACAGGAAATTTAATCTTAGTGAAACCTAAGATGATCCTAAACATGACTTTCTACCTGCAGAGAATTCTCACACTGGAGCATCTCTCTCTTAGCCTTCCCTCCGAGGAATAAGTTAGGTTACTTATCAAGAAAGAAATGTGCTGAATATACATAAGCATTGAGCCAGAGTCTAATCTTGTGACTACAAAGAGAAAGCATCTTACTGTGTATCATAAAGAGATCATTGTTCCTTCTAAAACCAAGAGTTTGGAAAAAAGACATTTTCTGAATTCAAATAAGTCTACTGTCTTATAACCAAAATTCATTTAATATTAGTGAAAGATAGTGAATTATTTAACATTATCAACGACGTGTGACTGAAAGTACTCCATTAACTGTATCAACAGTATTATGAACTTTAGGATACTCAATTTTGCAATGCTGATCTTGTTTTGTTTTCGTTTAATTCCCTCAAAAACTTTGAGAGTTCTGTTAAATCCTCTTGAGGGTAAGGAAGCTAAGGCTTAGAGAGGTCATGTAACTTGTCCAAGAAAGTGATCAGAATTCCTCTCTGAAGCCCTTTTCTCCTGGGCATATCTTACCACATGACTGCCTAGGTTTTCCATGTACACCTTCTGGTCTCTTTGCTCATTGTTCTGGGATGGGGTTCAGTTGGTCAAGCTTACTCCCCAGCCTTCATCACTTCTCTAAGTTCTTTTCTGGCTCAACTCATTCTAAAATGGAGGTATACACCAGCCAAGACACTCGTCTGAGTCCACACCATTACACCCATTTGCCTCCTTGACACCTCTCTCTGGCAGTCTCAAAGGCATCTCAAACTGTCCACAAGGCAGCCTGGGACCTTCACCCTCAAGACTTGGTCCTTGACTCAGGCACAGAACCACACACCACTTATTTTTACAAACTGGAACCCTGAGAGTTGTCCTTGCACCTTCTTCTTCCTCTTGCCCCTGCCCAACCTCTTTCTTCATTCAATAAATATTTACTAAACACTATGTGCCAGGTCTCATTAACAATTGCTAAGGACACACAAAAACACATGAGCCAGAGCCCCTCCCTTCTCACAGGGCTTATACTCTACTGGCTGTAGACAGATAGAATATGAATGAAAATAAGTAGGGTAGGTAGCATGTTGGGCAGTGATCAGTCTGGTCAAGTTTACTTTTGAACGTGTAATGACTTCCTTTTACTACTTTTCACGATCTCTACAATATCACTTAGTCTAACATATTTCCATTTTTTATACCAACTACTAGAATATTCTTCTAACTAATCTTCTTGAATTTTCCTTCCAATTCATTTTTTGTTGTTTAACCAAAAGGATCTTTGAATGATGACAATATAGCTAACATTCACTTACTGTTTACTATACACTAGGCATTATTTTAAGGACTTACTGCACATTACTTCTATAATAGCCCAATATGATTACTTGATTAACATCCACCTTCTCTACTGGATTATAAGCTTATCAAGGCTACTTTTAGTCACTAGCACATCACTAACTTTTGGTCCTTGCATACCATAGCCTTCAAAATAAGTATCCATTTTTATAATGAATAAAGTCTACTAGTGTTTAACAAGTTGATAGTCACTACTAAGAACATTCCTTCTTTGCTGTCAATTTAACAAACAACTGATCATTTCCAAAAAATTTGGCAGTTGACATGGTATAACTTTTGTTTTTAAAGCTCTCCAACAATTTAAGAGTATTTTCAAATAAGTATGCACGCCACTTGTTACTTACACATAAAAATAGGAAACTGTATTATACTAAGCTGTTAAAAGCATCAAGAGTTAAAATACATTGGGATGGATTCTTAAGTGTCTCACTAGTAGAAAATTCTTACTATGCTTTATTCTAAAATTTTTTAAAATTTTGTTCAATAGCATATAGAGGAAGATTTACTAGACCACAAGCTCTGTCTTATTCACTGCGGTGTGAGTGGAGGACATCACTAACCTTCACAGACATTCTGTTCTCTACTTCCATGGATGGGAGGTGGTGGATAACATTCCCCTCTTCATTACCATATCACTATTTCTAATCCTGGGCTGTACGCAGATGTGATGCACACCACTTAGGAGCCAAAACATGTAAGATGTGGGAGTTCCACTCCCTGTCCCCTTTCCTGTTCCAACGACCACTGACATTCCACACTGCAGAACCTCCATTCAGACTGTGCTCCTGAAGAACCATCTGGAACAGGGGCACCTCCTGCCCTCCATTCTCCCAGCAACCTGCAGTGTCTTTGAGTAAGTGCAAAAGATTCATGCACTAAACCTCTGATGTTTGGAACATGATTTATTACCACACAAACATTTAGCACATCCTGAAGTATATCCTAATGAATGCTTGGTTTTGTTGAAATAATGCATGAATATATATGTATATATATTCATTATATTTTTTGATAAAGATGGCTTTTTGTCCAACTATCACTTATATTTTTCTCTTTCTAGAGAGTGATATTTCAAGCTTAAACTTTTAAACACTACAAACTTCTTATTAAATATTCTTACAGATAAATTTTAGTTAATATCTTAATACCTATTTCACTAAAAAGTATCTCCTATGCCATTATTAGTATCTAACAATACTATTATTATATTTCTCAGGGTCTGATTGATTAGCTTCTTTCTAACAGTTCTCATATTATTGCCAATAAGAGTTCTATTTAAAATTACAACTTTATTTACCATATATTTTCAAAGATGAGTACTAGAACATAGCTAGAGAGCTTATGACTTCGCTAGGGAATCAAAAAAACAAAACAACAACAACATAAAGTAAAGGAAGCAGTTTAGAAGGGTGCTCATAAGGCAGAAATGCAGACTCAAAAGCCTTGCTTGAAATCTAGCAGTCCCAGTCATCAGCTGCTTGACCTTGGACAAATTACCTTTTCCTCTGTTCCTCCTCATCTGCAAAATGGGGATAAGATCAATCATACCTTAAAGAGCTGTTATAAGATTTAATAAAGAACACAGTACAAATATGTGGAACCCAGAAGCACAAAAATGTTATTTATGTTATTGTTGGTGACTCTCCACAATTATGCTCTCCACATGGAACAAAGAGCATTACATGGAACAGTGTTCTGATTCTACCACTTTCTTGGACAAGATACAGGATCTTCCTAAGCCTCAGTTTTCCTTATCTTTAATGGAGTTTAATATGCAACTTTCAAAATTATTGAGGGAACTAAATGTAAACCACATTAGCAGAAATAATAGCACAATGTCTAGGAAAAAACAGGTACTCCATAAAAATTAGAAGAAACAAACTCACAAAAGTGAGTACATAAGGTGATGAAAGAGTTTAAACTTCTAATCCCTGCGAACTGTCAAATCCAACCATAGTTTAAAGGATGCAAAGTCTGCATGGATCAATATAAGCCAGAAGAGAGTCCCTTAAATTTCTCAGCTTGGGGTCCCAGTGCAGTGCATCATTTCCAAACAAGGGGATTCTGCCGTCCTACACATCTGCACGCACACACTCCGTATCTTCTCTTATACACTCAGATGCTTTCGAGACTGCTGATCTAAATGTTTAGTTGCCCCATTTCTAATGGCCCTAAAGATGCTGTGGCTCATGTTTTCTTTTTAATAATATTAATGAAATGCTATTACAGAAATGAATGCTTATGAAATATTAAATTGAAGCTTTATAAACACCTTCTCACTACTTAGCAGCTGACATGATATAACTTTTGTTTTTAAAATTCTCCATCAATTTAAGAGTATTTGAAAATAAGTATATATGCCACTTGTTACATACACATAAAAATAGGAAACTATATTCTACTAAGTCACTACTGAAAATGCTAAAACGATAGACTTAAAAAAAAAAGGTCAAATTTATTTTGGGGGAATTTATTTTACAAAAGGGAAACTGACTTCCCCTTTTCTCTACTACTACAGAATGCTAAAAATAGCCAATTTTCTGTTACTATAATAAAATAAGATAAAGGAAAAGGAAATTGAGAACTACTAAAATAAGATGTGAAAGAATCAAAGGCATTTAATAAGGTAGAAACTATGGTATTTAAATTTAAAAGTGAAAGAATTAAAAAAAAGCTATATTTAGATAACTTTGAGGTGACTTCATTTAATTGAAAACAATGCTCAAGGATGGTTTCCAGTTTATGCCAATTATTACATTCAAACTATTTTATTACTAACCTATAAACATAAGTGAATACTGTAAGGAGCATGCCTCAGTACTATTCTAATCTATTAAGAATTAACTTCAGGGATGGGAATATATTCCATACATTGCTAAACTGAATGAGCATAAATTACAGCCTGTGTCATGAATTAAATAACTTAAGAAAACACTACTGTATACAAACATATACACACAAGTCACATTAGTGAAAAAATTCAAATACTTACAATATCTTCTATTATTTCTTTGACAGCTGCCACAGCTAAAATAAATAAGAGAGGAACCAGTGTTGTATAACGACCTGTTGGTGACACATCAGGTATTTGCTATTTAAAGAAAAGAAAAAAAAAAGCAAGAGAAATACAATGAGATTCAAAAAGTTTATACTAAACCTAAAAACAACAAAGTATTAGTGACTTCTAAAACATGCCTCATTTGTTCTACTATCTTGGCAGACTAACACTGGGTGAGGCAGTGTATTTTTATATAACAAGTAGTTAGAAAAACATGTTAATGAGCTTTATGACAAGCATATTGCATACAGGCTAACCTACAATGGGGGGTTGGTTAAATATATACTAGCATAGTTATATAATAAAATATTTTATAACAATTAGAAATGGCATCTGAGAAGCACAGCGAATACCTAGGAAAATGTTCACATATTATTATGCATATAAAGCAGACTATAAAACAATGTGTGCTCTATGATCCTTTTTTGTTATCTAAAGCAATATATAATGTTTGGAGGGGGAATAAAAGACTAGAGGGATATCTACACTACTTTTTAATAAAACAATTTTTTCTAAAACAATCAGTTATAATTAACTCTGAAAGAGGTTTTTACATTCTAAAGTTCAGAAGTGACACTTTCAATGCTATAAAACTAAAGTAAAATTTTAGGAAAAAGTTTCCTGCCTCTATACCACTTAAAATGAATAGTTCTTGCCACATTGAATTTACAGAACACCTAAATATGCTGATAAAAATGAAGCAAAAGGCTTGAAGAGGCGGTGAAATTCTGGCCCTGCTTGCAGCAGTAGCAGGGAAATGTCCATCCAGACGAGCCTTCCTCTCTGCTTTCAGCTAAGTCTCAGGGGACTGGTCATGGGCTCCACAAACACATATATTAACACCTGAACATTTAATTTAGAACTAAGGCTTTATGATGTGACTTTACCTGAAGCAGTGCAATAAAGAGAAAAAATGAATTAGCAGCTCTTCTGAACTGAGAGTAGAGAAATCTTGGAAGGAATGTGATTATGTTGTATTTTGCAGTGCTAGAAAACAAAAATAAAAAGTAGCAGAGAAATCGATTACTCCACAATTAGCACCCACATTTACAAAATTCCATTACCACTCCCCCCCCCACACACAAAATTAGATTAACATTTGTTCAATGTTTCCAATTGAAAAAATCTTGCAAAGGGTTATTAACTTAGATGAAAAAGTGTGAGAGGAGATGGCTAAGTCAATAGTAAGGAGAAAACCATAGGCTTTCTCTTCTGCATAATATCGTTTGTTCTCTTTGGCCAATCACCCTGCTTAACAGCACTAGGAATAGTTTACAAAGAGCAACTTGAGATAAGATAGTGTACTGGAAACATCCAGAGCTTTGTCTTGGTTATAAAATAGAAGGGAGATTAAAGTAGACCTGTGCCATACTCCCCAAACCGAGAAATGTTACTCAAGAATTTGAAGTTGCAAATACTAGTTTAAAGGGGCACATCTCGAATCTAGAAATTCTGCCATCAGAGAAACATAGGCCAGCACTGGGGGTATTCATGTGGACCAAGAGGCCTCTCAGCGACTTTGCTCACACTAATACTTTCTACGTGATTGTTGGCAACGGAAACCTATCACTGCAGTGATGTCATTCTCACAATCCTCCACCCTCTAGCAGCATGCTGTATCCCTCAACTATCAAAAAACAATATTTCTTTAAATTTTTAGATTTAGATTTAGATTTGCTGTAGGTTGGGGTTAGAGTTTTCTTGGTGCAGAATGGCAAAGATCTCTCCTGAAATGCTAAAACTTGCTAACCAAAAAAAAAAAATAAATACATGGCTCTAGTCATAGGCTTAGAACATTTACACATGATCAGCTTCCATACAGAACTGGCAGAACAAGGGTTCTGATCTTTTCTGCTCCTTCCTACTTCAAGATTGTTATTAACACTTCTTTACTGGACAGAAGATGGAGAAACAACCAATTCCTGCTGGTGAGGGGCTCTTAAGAACCAACTGACTGAACTGACGCCCCTTGCAAGTGGTTCCATTTGGACCTGCAGTGCTGCTCTGATGTTGCTCCAGTGTCCTGCAGGAGTCCCTACCTGACATGGTTATTGCAGAATTTTGTCAGCTGGGGCTGGTTGATGAATATAGTCCTGACTTCATCCTGATCAGCCAGCGAGGTCTTCTCCGAAACTTCATCTGTCTTCTCATAACCTTAAAAAAAGAAAAAGACAAGTCTTTTTATTTGACAAGAAATGATTCATTTTATTACCCAGACTGAACATGCATTCCATTACTACTCTAGAACATAAAATCTGTTGAAAGTCCATGCTGCCCTTTATGGGTGTGCTTGTTTCCTTTATAATGAAAAGTAAAATCCCTGTATCTAATATTTCTATTAAATGTGAGCGTTGTCATTTAACAGTCACATAAAAATGGATCCATTTCAAAAGCGGTAACATCGATTTAAAACTTTCCTCAGGTAAACGTTCAACATCTTTCTTCCCATTACATAAAAATATACCCCAAAGTAAATAGCTCTCTACTGGTTTATATTACAGTGTGGACTAACGAGACAAAACTAATCTAAATATATATTTAAGATTTTAAGCTAAACATTTAATGTTTTCCTTTGTTTTTCTTTTTGGATGAAAACAGGAGAAAAAAAAGTAAATACTGTTTTAAATAAGCAATCACCACAATGATCTTATTGACTACAATCATTTAATCATTCCTTCAATTAGAATTTGGGCTCCTGAGTATTAAGGTTCCAAGATCATCTGAAGACATCTCACAATCATGGGAATAATTCAAGCCAACAGGGTCCCTTGCTGTCACACTGACAGCACATTTTTAAAAACCACATAAGTTTTATAAGAACAGCCTTGGACAGAAAATATTTTAAACTGCTTATTGTATGTTCTAGTGGAAATTCAAGGAATGCCTTACCCTTTTATTAAAAAGGGACGCCAACAGCGCTCCGTCTGAAGTACCCACTCTTCCTTCCCTTTTCTGCCCAGCCAATGCCAACTCCTCCCACACAGCCGGCCAACACCTGGCCTCTTTTGAAGGGCCTCTAATATTAAAGTCGGTGAAGCTGCTTTGACCTACTCTGGCCCCAGCAAGACACTTACCAGGAGGTTTTGATGCTCTCTGTTTAGGAGTCCGTCTCCACTTACTAGAAAAGGGGCTCCCTGGGGCTGCAGGTTGTGTGTTGCTACTCATCTTCCTAACCCCAGTACCAGCCAACAGCAGGTACTCAACCAATGTTCGCCCAATTAACACATGACAAATGACAAAGGGACGGTTATTTGGCTGTTATTTTTGAGGGCAAGAGAAAGCTTCTCCACCCACTGATAAAGATGCATGAGAGCCAAGAAAGAGCTGGTAAGGAATGGTCCAAGAAAGCTTTGCCTGTGACATCTGGATACTGTGTGAAACCAGAGAACCCCTGAGGGGGTCTATAAAGGTGAGAGCATGGGCACAGACACAGGGCTGGGGGGGCGGACACGATGATGTGTCTGTAAGTAAGTGCAAACAGGGAAGTGCTACTGAAGCACACCAGAAGCACTGGGAGGGAGGGAGGGTGTCACATGGAACCTCTCCTGCTGGTGAAGAGGTCCATTTTCTGCTTTGCAACACGCCACTGAAAGCATTCCAGGGTGAGATTTGCATGTTATCCTTATCACCCTAGAAGTCACATGACACCCAATTAGGTCCTGTCATACCCAGAAAAAAAAAAAATCCAGAAAAAGAGGCAAAATCTAGACCAATGACCTACCTGTTCTCTAGAGTAGAGCCATGAAAAGGACTCCATGGTTCTGGGCACAGAATATTGCAGATGCTATAGGCTTTCTTTACCCAGACACTCTAGAAAAACCTGGGAAAGATGATGTTCATGAAGCTGAATTTATGGAGAACTCTTGGGGCTCTGGGATGCCCTGACCAGATGTGAGATGGGGGAGGGGAATTTGCACAAAAGCAAGGAGTGAAGTCCTTAGCCAATGGGAGCTGGTGGGCACCCTCTCCTGTCTTCTCAGTGGTATCAGGGTTCCTGTGAGCTTGGCAGTGACAGGGACCCCACAGGCACCCTGAGGCTCACTCTCAGGATGTCCAAAGGCCAGAGGATTCAGGTACCACCTGTGTAATGCACCCAATTGCCCACTGGTGCCTAGATCAAGCAGTGAATAGGCACAGAAAACTCAGAGGTCCTTGGGAATATTTTGAGAAGGTAACTTGGGAAAAGACCTGTTAAAGTAAAATGTGAGTATTTTTAATTATTATAATTTTGAATAAATGTGTATTATAGAAATAAACAGGTTATACCTGGAGATACAGGAAAACTATCAATCCATACTCCTCTGTAAGAAAGAGCCTTTTCTACCTAAATTAACAAACTCACACTTTGAGGGAGGTGGGTAGCAGTTTTGATCGCACAACTCTTCTCAATAAAGAGCGAAAACACATTTTCTACTGCTATGGTTTAAATATGAGGTTTTCCCCAAAGCTTCTGAGACAATGCAAGAATGTTCAGAGGTAAAATGATTATATTATGAGAGCTGTAACCTAAATGGTAGACTAATCCACTTGAATGGATTAACTGGGTGGTAGCTGTAGCCAGGAAGGGTGTGGCTGAAGGAGGAAGGTCACTGAGGGTGTGCCTTTGGCACTTATATTTTGTCCTTGATGAGCGGAGATCTTGCTCTGCTTCCTGGTTGTGAGGTCCTGAGCAGCTTTCCTCCACCAAGCCCTTCTGCCTTAATGTTCTGCTTCACCTTGGGCCCAGAGCTATAGAGTCAGCTGACCATGGACTGAACCTCTGACACAGTGAACCAAAATAAACTTCTTCTCCTCTAGGTTGTTGTTGTTAGGTCTTTTGATCACAGCAATAGAAACTGACTAAACACCTACATGCAATTCAAGAACTACTCGATATATACCAGATAACTCTATTTTTAGGCTTCTATTTTTTTAAAAAATATATATATTATTTCTTCCGCAAATTACCACCTTCATGAGCCACAATGACCCATCAAGACTGTGTGTGCATACCTGGATGATGACTTCAATGAGCTATTGTACAGTGGTGGCAAAGACAATTGAAGGGTAAACCCCCCACCCCCCACCCCCATCCCAGAGAAGACAAAAGTAAGCCAGCTCAGTTGCCATTCCTTCCCATACTTGGCTCTTTCCTTTGCTTTAGGATTTGCATGATGATTTGGAAGCTTGTTCAATGTAAGCATTTAAAATTTACTAGTAGCTTTTAATCCACCGGTTTACAGTCCTAAAAACTGTAGAGAACTGAGCCATTTTTTCAGGAAGCAAAGAAGGAGAGCAAAGCCGTGGATGTAGAAGGGTGACCACTGAGTCTTCCTGGTAGATCAGGTCCTCAGAAGTCATCTTTGTTTTTAAGCCAGGTTAAGTTTGCTGAGAGAAGGAAATGCATCTTAATCACATTCTCTGGTATTTTTGAAGCTTTTTCTAGCCCAATATTGCACAAAGAACGTATACAATAGTTGTCATTTAATCTACATGCACCCCCAAAGCATTCAGCTGGTTACTTCTGGGATCCCTCAGGGACCCATCTTCCCTGGGTTAGTACTGAGGTGGTCCAGACTGAACTGTGAAGCCCACCATGGAATACATTCAAACAGCACATCAACTATAGTTAAATGGGGGGTATTTGGTTAACAGCAAGGCCAAGAATATGACACATCTGGTAGTTACTTGTTCTCAATAGGCTTCCTAGTCTGTAAAAAGTCTGTAAAACAAAAATATGTGTACACCTCCTGGAACAGTTGGTATAAAATGAAAGAGTATATATGCAAAGCACTTAACAAAACACCTAATATTTGTTAAGCACATAATAAATGTTATCTGTTTTACTCAGAGAGTTAATGGAGTGTATGAATTAAGTTGTAGAGCCTCCCAAGCAATTTCTCAGAGTGGCAATTTCTCTGCTTTCCCTGCTACACTAAAAGTTTTCTGACTATCATAGCTGTAGCTCAAAGCCCTCACTGTCTGTTGAATTCACACATGAGCAAAATCAGATCAGCCATACATCAAGAACAGAACCCTCTGTTACAAGTAGACATGGGTTACCCAAACCTTAGAGACTGATGAATCAATCCACATCAATGATTAGTAAATGATGATGAGGAATGACTGTCATAGGCACTACAGTAACTTCAGTCTTGTGATAGATTCAACTCTCCCAGGTTGTCCTATCTAGAAAGTCAATGACTAAGTGATAACGTGTCTGGTAAGCACCAAAGAAACCCACTCACCAGTGGCTGGATGAAATAAAGAATTCAATCCCACAAAAAGGGCAATGCCTCCATAGGACCAAACTCTTCAAAGTTTGTTGGAATGCCTTGGCAACAGGGCCATGATATATCAGGTCTGTTCGCTATCATTTCTCCCTACCACAGAGAAGCCATTGTTTAACTCAATGACTCACCCCTACTGTGACCACCTCCACCTCCAAATTCAAACTGATATTTAATCTTTCATTGGGATGCCAGCAATCCCTGCAGGCCTAGGAAACAATCTGCCCCCAGCAGGTGACTTTGTTGCTGTCATGTTGTTGTGGTTTGGATGTGAGGTGTCTCCCCAATGTTCATGTGTGAGACAATTCAGGAAGGTTTAGCAGAGAAATGATTGGGTTATGAGAGCTTTAACATAATTAGTGAATTAATCCCCTGATAGGATTAACTGAGTGGTGACTGAGGGTGGGTGGGGTGTGGCTGAGAGAGACAGGCTATTGGGGGTGTGCCTTTGGGGTGTATATTTTGTATCTGGTGAGTGGAGTCTCTTTCTTTGCTCTCTGATCATTATGTGAGGTGCTTTCCTCTGCCACTTTCTTTTGCCATCATGTTCTGCCTCAATTGAGTCCTGAGGAATGGAGCCAGCTGTTTATGGACTGAGACCTCTGAAACCATAGCCCCCAAGTAAACTCTTCCTCCTCTAAAATTTTTCTGACCAGGTCTTTTAGTCACAGCAGCAAAAAAGTTAACTATGATACATGTGTTGATCTCAAGAAATAAGATGCACTCATTTTCCTGATTTCCAAGTTGAGGGTATCTCGAGATATCCTCAAGTACAGACACACAAGTTAATAGTGATAATGACACCTGATACATACTCCTTTATCACATTTTGGATTCTCCAGGAGAATCACTCAAGCATTTACTGCTGTGTCCTCAGTAACCAGC